AGCCCCTAGTAGCGTCCTTGTTACTAGCAGTAAGGCCAGGAGCCCCTGTCCTTGTTGCAGTGTGCCTTTGATTTCGCAGTGTTCATTATCTCTCGGCCAAGTTGCTGATTTGGCCCAGCAAGTCATCCGTGGCATGTGTCGCAGTGGAGTGCAGTGGAGCCAAAATCATCGTGGCAGGCAGACCAATCCCGAACATGGCCTCAGGATTGAGAATCCTCCAACCCATCACTGCATCCCTAATGATCACTATCGATCACTATCACAAGGAACATTAAGGAGCTAGGCGCTAGGTTTGTATCTTTTTTGTGTGTTCCGTCATGTTTTTGTTCACGCTTTATATATAGTAGGTGTTTGTTGGCTTTGACTTTGCAACTAAAATCATTAAAGCATATTAAAGCTGTGTCATTGGCTGACAAATGGCAGATTTGGATGGTTGCCCGCCACTTCTGCTATCAACAGGCCCAAAAATGCTCCAACCATTCCCACCGTGTCCACCCAGTCTAAACACTTGGAATGCAGGTCTTCATCTTTAGTCCCCAGGCTGTCTCCTGAGCAACGACAAAAAAAACAGCAAACCACGAGCTGAGCGAAAAAAAGAAGCGCCGACCTTCTGAAAATTATGACGAGTGGCTTTCATTCCGAAATGGGTGAACTCAAGAAGCATGATCTGGTCCATGCCCACTGGCATTGCATCATTGAGCCTCCAAAACCCAGCGCCCAGCAGAGCGCCAAGCGGCGAACTCGCGGAGCGAAATGGGCCACTGGACAGGACGTCCCGACTCCAAGGAGGGTCTCCAAGGAGGTATCTGGGGGTGATTTTCAGGTCACAGGGGATTCAGTCAGTCTTAGTCTTCACAAACCGGTCCAGAATTGATGAAAACTGCCATTGACATGGATGCTCAAAAGCAGCCTTCCTGGATGTCCAGAAACCTGTTATCGCAACATCTGACTCTTTTTTCTAGTATCGAAGAGCGCTCGGCGCTGAGGGATACTCCACTCAAATCGACTAAGTGGTGTTGCTTTGAGCTCTTCTTCCGACCGAAACAGTTTCCCAGTTCTGAACAATCTCCGCCCCTCGCCCTCGCTTCCTGAAGCCCAAGCTGGCACGAAGCCAGCCAAAGATCCCAGAAGACACCAAGGGGAGTTTCATGGCATCTCGAGGCCTCAACATGGAATTCATTCGCCAAACCACTGGTGCCCAAACACATGACGTCTGGGTGGAACATTTGATTTATCGTGGATGAAGCCGCTACTGGCAAGGGGTAAGGGATACTTTTGGAAGTTTTAGAATCCCTCTTGGGGAATGTGGACGGCCCTGGATTCATACCAAACATGGGTTGAACTCGTCGACCATAGACACCTTTAATTACATCATCAAAGGCTTGGACCCAATTCATATCGTTGTCCCGCGGAACAAAAGAGCCCCTTTGAGTTTACACAAAAGCCAGTAGATGCTGATGTCCAGCAGCGACCTTTGGTAAGGACAGTGATTCCGAAATCACGAGGATTAGGCTTTGTTGATGGGCCAGTTGCTACAATATGAACTCAGCTACTGCACCAACTGTGGCAGGCACATAATACCAATTAAATTCAGATTTGAAAGCACCAACTGTCAGAACAAAAAACTACAATATAAAACAAAAACGACAGTACAGATTACATGGTCAATTTGTTACATGGTATTGTTGATGCTTATATATATAGTTTTTCCATGTGGCTGAGTAGAAAAGTCTTGAACATGAAACCGACAAAAGCCTTCAGCTGCGATACATATATCAACCTATATCGATACATATTGATACCTATGAGCAGGGAAACTGATAGTTTCCTGCTTCTCGGGCTCCAAGGATATCCAGCAAGCACTCCAAACTTGTTGTAGATCATCAAAGCACAGTACCCAGGCAACCGCGCCATACCCAGCGAACAAACATACTCTACTTCGAGTGATCCCCACCATGACATTTCCATCATTTGTCTTCATGCCATGGTGAGGAGCATGTTGCCATGGTCGTGAGTTTTGTGGTTCTGGTCTTTGTTTGTGGGTCCTCGGGTTGTGTGCTGTGATTGTGGTGGTGTGGTTGAGTGTTGTGGCCGTGTGCTGGAAATATATGTCTTTGTGGTTGTGTGTTCCTACCAGCGGGAAACACTGCCATCCTGCAATAAATCTAACAACCCTCACCTGACAGGTGGGGAAACAAAATTGAGCAACGTTCCATTGTTGGCCAAAACAAACGCTTCAGCTTTCGTCCCGGACACTCACTTGCATCGTAGAGGTGTGGGAACCGCCGCTGAAGACGGTGGAAAACCCAGGAGCACCCGACCATAATGGCCAGCGATGTGAGAAGGGCGAAGCCCAAGCTCTCCTGGGTGAACTTCGAGTGCAGAGCTGGAGAGCAGGAGTTGGGCAAACCATTGCAAACATGTTAGCCGTTTTTTGTTCACCGAACTTGAGCCAGAAGAACTGTTTTACATCCAGCCCACTAATCTGCTCTGTAATTCTTGTAATTTCCTTGCAGGGTTCAGTTGAGGCAGCTGCTAGGATGGTGTCCCTTCTTGATGGACTCCCAGTCCCAGTCCTAGTGCTACTGCTACTACTGCTACTCCTACTCCTACTCCTACTCCTACTGCTACTCCTACTACTCCTACTGCTACTCCTACTACTCCTACTACTCCTACTACTCCTACTCCTACTCCTACTACTACTACTACTACTACCACTACTTGTTGCTGTACCAATGTCGTACTAAGTCTAATCGGTTCAGCTCCTTCAGTGAAAACAATCCCACGAGCTGATTAAAACAACGAAAACTAACAATAGGAAGTAAAGAGCAAAAACTTCAGCTGAAGCTGCTGTATCATGAGATGTGTTCTGCTTCACGAAGACTACATCGCTGCTGACATTCATGAGCGCAAAATTCACCCGCAAGGCTCGACGCGGCCCGTTGGAAGCAAAACATGCCTGTTCAACGGTAGGAACTTTCAGAGTTTGTCTTTAGTTGGTGAGGAAGTCTCTTGAACGTGGCCAGATGTGAACTTTCACATGACGCAACACATGGGCGATGTGACAAAGAAAGCTTTCCAGGTTTGGTAGAGGAAAGTTAGTTCAAATCCACCACTTGCCATCGGTTTTGCAGTCTCCATGTCTTCAAATCGGGTGTTCAACCTCCGTGTCGACGGGCTGAATGGTGGGTGTATTTCAGTGAGACCTTGAGCGGGCATCGGCACCGCAGGGGGGGGGCTCTTCGCCATGTGTTTGAAACCTGCTGATCCACTCATCCCATCTGCCAGCTGGAGCCGAGACAGAGCGTCGCGGCGTGACTGTCCCCTGGCCTATTCGACGCTTTTCCAACGGCGCGCGGGCTGGGCGCTGGTGCGCCCTCGGCGGATTAGTGGGGCTTTCCCCCCCGTTGAGCCTTCCAGCGAAAGCTGAGGCCTGCATCTCAGTCTGCCTTTCGGTGGGCAAGAACTCACAAAACAACCCATGGAAGAACGGCATCATCTCCATGCCGGGGTGCTTTATCCAACGAAACAACCTTACCAGGAGTCACAAAGGGTACTGTTTTTTTCATCCCTATAGTTGCATATAGTGAGGATGGATCTTCTGGGCACCCGAGACCCACCCGGCACTCGGCACCCCGTGACTCGTAGGTCTTCCGTTCGTGAGGACTGACTCCTCGCCGAACGAACGGCACGGGCTTCGACTGGCAAAAACCGTGCCAGAATGGACATCTGTCTTCTCCCAAGAATGTCTCTTCCACTCTCATCCTGCCTTCCATCTCAGAGATCTCGAGGCGCTCTCGCTGATCGTCCCTTTTTGTGGTCTGCATCTCAAGATATCTTAAGACAGCAGGTCACATCTAACTCACCCAAATGATCTGCAACCTGCTGACAAACTTGCTGACTCCAGGGCCAGATTTGCCAGGTGTCTGAGGGAGGATCACGAAGAACGTGGCGTTCCGGTCCAAAATCACTCATCTAGTCATCCGGTCCAACGGCCTAAAGTAAAGCCTGGTCAATACAACCTCATGGTTCGTAGAGTGTTTTTATATGTGTTTTCTCCAGTATAACGAGGTCCAACTCACCTGGTTGGGGGTCTTGATGTCCAGACCTGCGCAGGTCCACCTGACTGTCCGCCTGCGCAGGTCCACCGGTTTTACAATCGCCACATCCATCAATTCCTCGGTTGACCACTTGCCATTTGGCAGAAAAACGGCCCTCTCAGGCACCCATCCGCTGTTGAATGGATGGCTGGTTGATGGTTTCGCTTTGAACATATGAGCTAGTGGGATTTCCCTAATCGGCCAAGTGACGTGTGTTTTCCTTTTTTTTTCACATTGAAGACTGAAACCCACCACCCAAGTTGGGTATGGCCAAACTCGAAAAGCACCAAAACAAACAGTCCAATTGAGTTGATTGAGTTGATATATCCTGCTCCAGTGTGAGTTGATGCTCTTCCAGTTTGCTGACCACACCAAGGGAGGATTCCTGAATCCCCTCGAAGTTCGGGTTCGGAGTTTCAAACACCATGGTGAAATTCATGACTTATGAAAAGATATGAAAAGAACATCAACAAAATGGAAGGCATGGCATGGTCTTCCATGTTCTTGTTTCTGTCTCCATCTCCGGCTCCTCATTTGGTTAATAAATAAGTTCCTTTCTTCATGCGTCATGTTCTTTGGGGGGGTACAGTCACTTGGCCGTGTGTGCCCGCATGCGATCCTTGGTGCTATGGCGCGTGGGCGTCAGGTCGAAGGTGGGCGAGCGCGGCTCGGCCACGCTCGCGGGGCGGGCTTGGAGGGAGACCGGGCGATCGAGGCGAGTGAGCACAGGTGAGGAACGATCCTTGGTACTTCGGCTCGTCTCACCACCTGCAGGCCAGGGTGGCGGTGGCGGTGTGGGTAGGTGGGAGATGTGGGAGGTGGAGGCGTGCGAGGCCTTCAGCCTTGGGCCCAAGGTTTCTGGGTGAAAGGATGTTGTTGTTGTTGTTTTTGCATATTATAATGGTAGATACTTGATACATCTAGATACTCAGTAGGGGTTGGTGATACGGTTGAGAAGGGGTGGTAGGCGTTTGATTTGATACAGTCAAACAAGATTGGGTTTGATTGTAATTGGATGTGAATACAATGATCAACAAACATCAACATCGAACACGGAAGTGCACGTAGAATATGCTATAATTATATACTTACCAGCTTCCTGCTTCCTAGAAGACAAGTCTCCCCTAGTCTCGGTGTCAATCTCTCCACCTGATCCACACATGGTCCATGCATCCACAACCATTAGGACCACCCTTTCCCCTTTCCCCCCCACCGCGCATGGTTTCTACACACCATCCATGCCCTTTGCACCATCCACACCTTTCTGCTTGGGAATCGCCTTCCGCCCTCGACCCCGCTGCCTTCGTAGAGCGTGGCGGGGACCTGTGCCACGTGGCCCAGATCTTCGTCCTCATCCGCTTCCTCTTGCGTGAGGCCCTGGAGACGATGCCTGCCGCGGCAAAGTGGTTGGGGCCGCACTGTTGTTGGTCCAAAGTAAATGAACAACACTAGACCAGCACCAGCCAATTCGGGTGGTTTTTAGATGGAAAATACATCTTCAGGGGGCTCTATAAACCACCCCAAGGGTGGTACTGGTATATGCTTTTTGATGTGAACTGCCAGATCGAGATGTTCCCATGGGAATTATTTGGAAACATAGTGAAACACTGCTTGTGTAGTGATCCCCCTACCACCCCACCCACATCAAAAGCAACATCGTTTTTTTTCCCGAAGCTGGTGGAGAAGTGATTTCTTGCAAAAGGGGAACAACAAGTGCAGGGGAACCCTGACACATCCAGGTGACACATCCAATAGCTGCAAAGCAGGGGACCTTAAGTTATTGAAACCCTGACACATCCAACAAAGACATGTCACCTGCCACACCTACCCAATAGCAGCCAACTAGGTGGCTGACATTGAGCGAGCCCTGACAACTAATCAGGATGGGTTGGGTTGGCTTCAAAACGCTCGAGAGGGATACCAGCTATTCCGGCTATTCAATCTTGAGCCAAAATGGCCAAGATTGAACACCTGGCCACACCGCCACACTACACCGTTCTTGTTTCACTGCACCATGTTATGGTTTCACTAAAATATCATGTTAAACAAATCGAAGAACTAAACATTGGTTTGCAATGGTTTGAATGGTTTTGTGTTTTCATATGTGTTCAATAGGCTCACAATCCAATTTTTGAGGAGCACTTGAAGTCGGGTCCGGAGATGTGAGGGTATCTGTGTGAAAAAAATAGAGCATTCAGTGGATGCACTGGATCCCCGGACTTGACAGGTCTCTAGGACCAATTGGCTAAGCTAGTTGATTATTGAAGGTGAACATGATATTAAATGGACAGACATCAGTGAAACCACACTTAGGACTGTCCGGACTGTCCGGGACACTCTCAGTAGTATTTGTTGTTACAGTATATACATGGAGTTGCAAGGACCGGCGCATGGGACCCCTTCATTCTCTCATCGGGAAAACATCCAGCCCCAAAAAAGACTGACCGTGCGCTTGCGGTGTTTGGTGCGGCCAGCTGATCCCAAAACGAGCCAATGCGCAACATCGGGCTCGCTTCGTGATGCGGCATCATAGTCGTCTATAGTTGCCCAGCCAGGTACCGTGTGTTTGTGTGACCAAGTGCGGCACCTCCAAACTGCCATCCCGGCAGCTGGGCATAGCAAAAGGCGATAGTTTATAGTATGTCATAGTACTCCCAGACGATCCATATATAAGCAAATACTGTTTTCGGGCGGTGAACGTAGCTCATACTTGCGCCAGTTGATGGATCGTGTGGGACGAAGGATGGAGTCTCAGTTCGTACCTGTGTCGTAACCACGACGTCGTACGTCTATTCAAACATATACGCTGACGGGGGACCCCATACCTGGATCCTCCTTTGGGCGGAAAAAAAGTGCCGGACCTCAATCCGGCAAAATTTTCCGCCGGATTCCGAAAAAAAACGCCGGAGACCTGAAAAAACATCCGGATCCAAGATTCTGAAAAACAGAGATGATAAAAGGTTGGATCATATAGCAAACTGCCTTTGCACCACAAGTAGTTTTTTCTGGAACACACTCATTCCACAACCCAGCACTGGAGCCTTCCCGTTCCCATTGCCCTCGCCCATCTTCCGAATGGCCTAAGAGCAGAACCATCACAAAATATAAGCAAACTTGTGCCCAAGCAAAGACTTCCAAGAAGAAACCAAGGAGTATGTGGCAAGGAGCCCCTATTTCTCTGCAACCGTGTCACTAAAGTTTTTCTTTGTTTACAAAGTGGCTCTCCATGATTCTTATGGTTTTAAATGGTCTTTTTAAAGCTTGCCTCAGGACGGCCCCGCCAATAAAGTAGCAGAACTCAGGGTTCCCGTCGAAATTCTTAGTTGAAAAACTTTTCAAAATTCAAAAGACTGAGTCCAAAAGAATACGCCGGAGTTACGGGAAATTACGCCGGAGTTACGGGAAAATACGCCGGAGTTACGGGAAATTACGCCGGAGTTACGACGTGCATTTCTTTAGCAACTCCCTGCAAAACATTGAGATTCTGAACAACACAAGTTCCACAGCCCAAAACTTGTCCGGCAGGCCTGCAACCCTGCGCAACTAGGACTAATTATATCCCAGCGCCCCGACATCCTGAAACAATGGGAGTACATCTTTGCCTATGTTCTTTCAGCTTAGGTACACCCACTTGGGTCTTTCAACACGTGCATCGCACTGTTCCAATTTCATCCGGTTCATTTAGAAGATCACCTAAACGGATCTGATTGATCCAGTGTGACCCATGCTGAAACCGGTGGAATGAGAAAACAGCGGAACAGGCAAACGAGCACACTTGGTAAGCAAATCATTATCTTCAAAGAAATGCAAGCCACAAAGAATGCAAAGCCTTGAGAATCCACATTTCAAGTGACTTGGAAAAACTGCCGGACCAAATCCAGAAAAGCGCCGGAGTTGGAAGTCCGGCGCCGGACCCTGTAAAAGTGCCGGACTGAAGATCTAGGTATATTTAAGAAAGAAATCATGTCTTCTAGGATACAACCAAAGCCGTTTTTTGTTCTTTTCTTGGACCACCAAATCTTTCGCACACGTTCAGCCGGCTTCACCTGGGTCCAAAGAGGTCCCAAAAGAAGACCAAGAGGAAGCCAGAGAGCGCAGCAATCAGACCTGGGAAGCCCAGCTACGCGAGCTACCGGTGTCTCAGTCCGTACCTGAGAAATTCGTACAATGTATATAATTATGTGTTTGTGGTTTTGTTTTGGTTTTGTTTGTTTTTATTATGTTTTGGTTGTGTGTTTCTTTTTTTTTTATAAGGTCGTGTCATATCGTGTGCCACTTTCTGGGGAACCTTGAGGTCGGATTTTTGGTGGTAACCACCCCGGTCACTCGGTTGAACCAGGTTTGGAATACCCAACCACCGGTCGCCAGATTCGGGGGGGACCTAGCTTTGGAGACGGTGGTGTTCCGGAGGGTGGTTAAACCACCACCAGCAGGTAGGACACCAGCCGTTACCAAAGGGAGGACACCAGGTAGGACAAAACACCCCCTTGAATAGAGCCAAACACCCCCCACTGGCAACTCTATCCGCCTCCGTGACATCTTACGACGGTTGGGGTGTCAAAGGTATTTGGACACAAACTGGATCGGCGGTTGGACTCGGGCGGGTGGACTTAATAGAAGTGTCAGAGTCTTCAGGTGTGTTGGACAAGTTGACTTGGCCACATCGAATCCAATCGTTCCGGCTGGGTGTCACACTTGTGGCCTGTTCGGCCCTGGTGTCAGACTCTGGACAAAAATCACTCCACCAACATTTGGAGTGCAACAACCTCTTCCTATGGGAGGGTGATTCATCAAGAGTCTACATGAACATTGTCATCTACATGATTTAACATGTGTGTCGACAGCTCAGCGGGAAGCGATGAACCCGCGGAATCTCGGCCGACGCCTCGCGGACGTCGAAACGGAATCGACCGTGCAACCGGAGGTTCTTGTTGGGGACCTACAACAGAAACAGCTGCCTGCTATGAAGGTGTGAGACCCCCTGTTGATCCACACCGGCATTCCTGTTGAACAAGTCTTTGCCTCTATCCTGGTATAGGCACTGGCTTGCTTCCAAAGGTAGAGAGGGCTAGCCTGGAATGATAAGGCTCACAGCCATGTGAAGACTTTCATAGACTTTCAGGTTTTTGCTCGGTATCAAATCGAACCAACGCGGACAGGGTTGGGACAAACATGTTTATACAATCCAAACTACCATCGAACTGATTACGGAGAAACATGGTCGGCTTTGGTTGCAAAACTCCATGTGATTGATGCAACCCTACACAACGGATTGCTATTCATTCAGTCCAAGCGGCAAGCCACGCCTTCCTCAGTTGTTCTGGCATGTTTTGACATCAATGTTTTTGTAACTTTAACTCTTGTAAATGTTTGAGTCTACTCTGAAACACACAAAAACACTGTGTTTCAGGAATTTACGTATGTATAGCCTATAGCCAACACATCGAGAATGTGATGTGCAAGCAACAAGACCATTGGCTGCGGGTCAAAACCTGGAATCCCTAAACCTGGTAGGTTGACCATGTCTTGTAGTCCCTTCTCACCTTTTTCACTGGTCAACTAGGGTCTCCACGGTGACCGACTTCGGAGCCATCTTGGAGAGCCATCTTTTGACGTCCAAAGTGAAACATCCTGCCTATCTCGTCGTAGGATGTCGTAGGTGTTTTGTTTTCGTCCACTTTCTTCTCCGCCAGGTGTCCAGCAAGGCATTGGCCGCAAAAGCCATCAAATACCAAGACTCGCGTTTCAACTTGCAGCGGCTGCACAAACACCTCAGTCTTTCGTGTCGAGTGCGCCGTACATCACAGCTACATCTCCGCTACATCCGTTTGGAGCGGGACGGAAGTCAGGGAGGCTCACCTGTACCGGTGCCATGGGACAAAACATCCGCAGTGTGACGTGGTATCGGACTGAGGCCAAGTGGGACATCTGCTCACAGCATGGTGAGCATGGTGGCACTCGGAAGCACTAAAAATGCAACACACCAACCAAACACAGGGCTTGGTTTGTTTCATAAGTCTTGCAAGATGGGCCACGTGAGATGATGTATGTACATGTTTGTGGTGAAACTGAGTCAGTGGCACAGTGCTCACAGTAGCAACAAAGCACATGGTATACAGTATACAGTTCATTTTCCTTCTTGCCTAATTACAAGGAGCGCCAGGCCAAGAAGAGAGGAGTCAGACGCGAATTCTTCTGTGTCTGTGGGGCGCATCAGGATTTTGAACCGGTTGAGCTACCTGGTGGACCGGTCAAAGGATGCCAGGACCTTGGACTCGCTGGCTCATGGCTGGGTCATGGCACCAACCGAACCCGAGGTAGTCCCGAAAGTGAACCGAATCGACTTCGGTTCACATGGTCAACCTGACACGGGTGTGGCGGAGCCGATGCTCAGGGTGTGGCGGAGCCCATCCCGTTCCACCGACGGCCTAGGGGTCGAGATGATAAAGTCCGGGTTAAAGCGCGGCGGCGCCCTGCACCGAACGAAGTGCAGACTGCGAAGGTGAGAATGGGTGCGAGACGTGCGGGGTGTGAAAGCATGTTTTGACCATGTGACCATGACATGTGTCAGACTTATGGGACTATAGCTATAGCGCTATATATATCCTCATTTTTGCATATATTTTTGTATTGGCTGAGTGACTCAAAGCGACATGCCACCAGGTCCCTGCAAGCCTGTTGGGTGCAAGTTGCCTAACTGCTTGCGCCGTAAGTGAGACCATCCATGTCCATGTGGGTCTCTTCCCGAGTGGGAGCAAATACAGCCGGATTCCGGCGGAGTGCTGGGACCAGCGCCCAGGTGACGCGACGAGACCTTCCGGCCAACGTCGGTCCCCAATAAGGATCATCCATTGGACCAAGCAAAAAAAACGGGGGATCTATGATCATGGTCCAGTTCAGTTTTGCTTTTTCTTCGTTCGGTAAGGTTTTGTATCATGTTCGGTTTGCTTTGTCCTATTCAGGTTCTCTTACGTCCTTCTCCGTTCCCCGGAAGACGCCCAACCGTGCATGACCATCTTAGACGCCCCCCCAGCCTCTTGGAAGTAACTTGGACATCTAAGCCTCTTCGGGCCGCAGGAAACGTTTCGACTGGGAAGTTAGGGCATGCAACTGCCAGGGAATTCTCGCCCCTTGTGACTGTTCGGAACGTTCCGCAACCAGGAACAAGCCAGATGCCAAACCAAGGAAAAAACGCCCGGGTCAGCTTGAGATCAGTCTGCTCAGTCTTCATGAGTGCATGTCCCGCCACGCGTGCGTTTTTGGGCCAAATGCAATCTCTTGTCTTCAGGTTCCAACACCTGCATGGGGATCCAATCCCAAACACTCCATGTCTGTCATATATATATATATATATATATACATTGACCCCTCCTCAAGCCACCCCAACTGATCGGTAAATATTCCAGTTCCATGGAGACTTGATCACTTCAAAGGAAAGGTCTACGCCGAGTCTACGCGAGTCAAAGCCCAGCTGCCTGAGATCTGCACCTCGAGCTGGGCCTGGCATTTGCCACCCTGTCCTCCGCTGGGCCGGGCATCGGCCAACTGAGTGGACACACCTAACTTCTAACAAACGAGAACAAATGAAGACCAACAAAGAAAAGGCTGAGTTCACGCCTATAGAGCCCAGATGAACCCAAATCCCTTTGGACACGTTTCTTTCCTTCGAGCAAAATTCCAAGCAGTAGAAACTGCAGTAAACCGGTGTACGTTTCTTTGTCGTTTGCTCTATATGTGCCAACCAAAACGTCGAGCCAATGCGGCATGCATCGTGCAGGTGCATGAGGTTTGCACACCATGTGCAGCCGCAACACGGCGGAAACCACAGGTTGGCCATGTGGCCGTCAAACATCATGACACCTGGTGGGTTGACCATGTCTGGTAGTCTATTCTGTTCATGTTCGGTGGGAAAAACCAAGGTGTTCGGTTGTGAAAGAACCCATTCTGGACGCCCTAGGAAATGGGACATGACTCATGACCGTGTGTCAGGTACTTGTAGCCATCTTGTAGAGTACTTTGACGCTCTTTCCGGTGTATATAATGGTTAATCATGACCCATGCAGCTGGTTTCCAAACATGCCTCAACCCGTCCAACACCACACGTTTCATTCTTCTGCAGCACCTCCAACACGCTCACACATCTTCGCGTGCACATGCCAAACACCATGCCAGGATCCTCCAACCGGTGAAGTTGGCCACGTGTTTGGATCCTATTCCAGGTATATCCAGTGGTATACTTGATGGGACACCGAACCCTGATCACCCCAAACATCAAAACACCAAAGCCTCTACATCTTTGGATCCCATACTAGGTACTTGATGGACAGACCTTGATCACCGCAAAAACACCCAAAAACCACCAAAGGCTCGAACACCTCCCACGGTCCTCTGAGGTTCATGAGCGACTGCTTTTCGCTTCCCCAGACCCTCCGAAAGGCCTTCCGGTCCACCAACCTCCAGTCCGACCGGTCCGAAGTGCCATGAGTCGGATTTGGATGACCGACCTGTAGTTGGGGTGTTCAGGATGAGAACCATGAGAAGATCTGAACAACAAAAACGGAAAGGGAGTAGAACTCTCTGAGATCCCAACTGTTTCAACTCGACCTCCTTTGAAGCGAACACCTGCACGTTTCACGGCCGCGCGTAACGCGCGAGACATACACGTAACGCGCAGGTTGGAATGCCACCTCTGCCAAGGCCTGCCAGGTTATTCTAGTTATTACCATAGTATGTCTTATAGTCTTATATGTCCTGTGGAGTTTCCCTTGAGTTTCAGGTCCTGACAGCTGCTGAGAGTTGCAAAAAAAGGAAACAAGTGTTCCACACACCGATGTATACTGACACAAGGAATCTTATTCAGAATTGCTGCAGCACCTTTACAGCAGTACATCAGATCAAATCCAACTCATGCAAACCCTCCTTCAAGTAAAGCTCTTGGTTCGCTCTGGGTTTGTCAAACTATTCCATGAATCGACTTGAATCAGGATTTCTTCTGTCACACCGAGTGGCCGATCCGAATGATCGCTCCTAATGGCGGGTCGACCGGCTGGAGTGTATTGAAGAGATACATGGCCGGCCGTCGTTCCTTTTCGAACGCGACAGAAGGGACCCATTGAACAACAAAGAAAACAAGAAGAAAGACACTGTAGACCTGGACCATCTGTAGACCTAGACCATCTGTAGACCAACACTGTAGACCATGCTTGCATGGACCTTGAATTGCTCTTTTTGACGCCCCAATCATGTCGGACCCTTTTGCTCTTTTTGGTGCTCAAATGCTCAAATGCGCAAGGGCGGGAGGCACGCGGGCACCTGTTTCTTCCGGTCCACCAATTGGAGCTCGAGGGTATGTGTCTTGAGGTCTTCCTGTTTCAGCAACAAGTGAAGCCTCAGAGAGGTGCGTTTCTCCGAAACAAGGCCAGGCTTCTTCAGCCCTCTGCTTTCGCTGGGCACCGGTCACAGGAGCGTCTAGAAGCTTCTATCTTGAGGTTTCAGTAGGACATCGTAGGACATCAGGAGTCTTCTTGCTTCACAATCTTGTACATTTGTTGATGAACATGGAAATAGGCAAAACCAGGGACTCAAAAAACATCAGGCTTACATCAGGACACACATTTATCAAAACAATGCACACAAATCTTCAGATTCCGTGAAGCCAAAACGTTCAGGTATTCTTCTTGACACTGGAGCGGCTGAGCCGCAGCTGAGCCTTAAATGAAGCGCTAGAGCCGTTCTTGTGTCTTCCAGTCTTCCTGACAGCGCCTCGTGCAGTGGCTGCAGCTGAGCCACACGTACTCAATGCACAACTCCACCGGTTGCTTCTCCTCTTCCTGCTTTGACGCTTTACCACGGCATCAGTCTTCATGACCAGGTCAGCGGCGTCAAACGGTTCCGTTCCAGTTTGGACCTGTTGACATCATTGTACATGGTCACCGATAGTTCAAGCTCTTCCCGTATACGAGCTTCAGAAACGACACAAAGATGTCTTCCGTTTCGCTGCTGAAAAAAAGCGTATACCAATCAATTCCAGTATCCCAGCCAACAGAGACATCGCTAGAAGCAAAACTGTTACGTATAGTGACTTTGAAGCTGTCCGAGGACTGCGACTGCGACTAACGCCGTAAGGCCTCTGGAAACAAGGTCCCCAAACGCTTGATCCTCAGCATGAGGACACCCTGAACAAAATTGCACAAAAAAAAAGCACAGCAACAAAAAAAAGAACATGATTTGCTCAGTGGCCATGTGACCTTGTTTGTTTTCCTTTTGCCTTGAGACCCTGAATACAACAAAACGTGTTAACATAGCATCACCGTCTCAAAAACACGGTGTTGGTTGAGAGACGAGTAAAAACACAAAACGGCTCTTCCTCAGCTCCCTGCGGTGGCTTGGCATCCTTGGCATCCTTGCTCTCTTTCACATCGACTTTGACTGGTTTCCTCAGATGAAATGGGTGTGGGCCAAAACTCGGCTACCTGGGTTGACATGAGAAAATGAACAGAATGGACTACTAAGGAGATCTTTGACTGGTTCCTCAGATGAAATCAAGCACACCCGACAAGCATTGAATGTTATGACATATTATGACATCTCTCATGGTTGTTGGAGTGTTCTGGCTTGAAGGTATAGCAGGGTTACTGGCTTCTTAGTGACTGGAGCTCATTTACGGTATTTTTGCTATCTTTCAGCTCATCCAATACAAACATCGCACTTATAAACATCTGTCGTCAGGGGCCGACAAAGCCAGGCTAAAGAAGCCGATTTGCTTGGGATTTCTCGACATGACCAGACCTTCATGTGACATCTGGCGCCGATGTCTATATCCCTTTACGGAGGAAGTGGGTGACCAATGGTGACTGTCAGGAAGACTAGAAAATGGGATGCTCCACTGGGTTCTTCTCCCCTTTCGGACAACCATGCGAAGGGCGCCCTAAGCCGGACAGTTTGGGAGCTGGAACCAATCTGAGAATCCACCCCACATGGGAGCTGCACCATGAAACAATATGCACCGGTATTCAGGTGTACTTTGTCTCTCCAACATTCCTTCAACCATGTTCAAAAATGGGAAGCTAATGGAGTCCCAGATGCTTTCCGGAGGATTGATATGGATCGATCTCAAAGATTTCCTCTTCATACATTGGGTTTCTCATAAGAAAGCGCATCCGCCAGAATCAATGGCTGCGTACCTCTTCTAGTTCCAGCCCTTCCCATCCATCCTATATCCTTAAATTCGCTTTCCTGCCACCACCGGACTTGTCACGAAGCCCGATCAGTTGCACGCCCAGCTCCCGACCATCCAACGCTCCAACGCCCAGCATCTGGCTCACGAAAGGCGTCTGTTTCTCGGAATCGCTGCACCGCGCGTGCAGCGCCACCGGCTGGGGGAACTCCTGCCACGGACTCGACCGGATGGTAGGGTTCTGCACGAACACACACGGACGCCGAAAGCGGAAGCGTAGGGAAGGTGGTAGGGAATGCGACCCATCGTGCGGTGAAGCAGTTCTGACGAAAGCTGCGAAGGCCTGGCGGTACTGAACCCAGGATCCGGATTTGATGGAGCTGACGAGCGTAGACGGACGTGCGAGAGGCATATAGGACCCCAATTGCGTTCCATGACACTCCAATCCCAAACACTCCATGATCGGAGCATTTGCTGATCAGTCTGGTTTTCGGTTTTTGGGACGGGACTCCAAGGGAACCGGACAGTCCGACACACTGGTCTTGAAACACCCAGACTCGACTCCGAGCCGTGAACGGTGGATCAGTCGGAGTTCCAAGAGGTGGGTTCGCACGAAGCAAAACGAGGGTCCAAGGACTGGTCCAGCCAGGATTCTTTCGAACAAACACATGGCCAGCCCAGGAGGAACATCCAGGGCATTGCAGGTCTGTTCCATGTCTCCTGATCAACTTGACTCGCCGGAAATGTCAAGTTGTTTCTCATGTTTGATCACCCCATAGCCCCGGCGGGTCAGCTTGGCCTCAGGGACATAGACTTTGTCTATCTTGATTCGCAGCATACAGAGCTCGCATTGGGGTCGCAGACCCATGCGGGGTTGGAGCCTCAATCCGAGTGAGCGTCATATAGGTCTTCATGAATTTTTGGGCACCCTGACCCAAATAGGTCTTTATGGATGGTTCATCCTGCAGGTTATCATGTGACATGCACTCTTCCATTGGCACTGGATATTTGCCTCATCTGGTCATTGCAGGATGTCCGATGTCCAGAAACAACATGTCAACAACATAGGCCTATCGAAAACAACATATCTAAAACAATACATTGGGTCTATCCTATTACCTGTAACAGTGGATTATGATTGTTCAGTTGCAGGCCTTGTTCAAAAAATGATGAATTGCTTGTTTACTGACTGTTACATGTTTACATAGGGACAAACGCTTGACAAAAAACAGAACAACATCTGCCAATCAACACTCTGTTGAGAACGTCGAGTCCGTAGGTATCCGATCCAGTGCCCAATGAGGTCAGAGAGGGGGAGCCTCCTTTGCTGCTGAAAAGAGTGCAGTCGATGGTGCGACCATACAAAACTTCGATTGCAACAAATACAGTCTCAGGCCCCTTCCAAGTTGATCAACCTGTACCTTACAAGAGCTCTGACAAGAGCTCAGACAAGGTTGGGAACTGGGTATTAATAGTTGGTAAAGGCTGATCACTCTTTTTGAGAAAGGCCTGCAACCAGGCCCTATCATCCATGTGCGCACTGGGCCCGCCCTACACAGGTCATGAGGCATCATGGGGCACGGCATGGCACGGCCTAGTTGCGAAGCTCCGACCTTTCAACAAGTCGTTCCTCCGGTCCGTTTTGTGCAGCTTCTCGTCCCAAACCCAACTGGATAGCTTTCAGAAATGGGAAAAAAAAAGGACCGGAATCGGAAATACCACGTCTCGTCGCTTTTTCAGACATGAAAATCACCAGGCGACCCCTCAACCGAGGCATCGAGAAAACCGACTTCCATCACACGAAAGGAAAGCGCGCGCGCGACGCTGCCCAAGCGACAACTCGAATTCCATGTCCACGCTTCCGCAGGACTCGTCGCCGACCTCGTCTAAGCCTCGTCTTCGCGAGCTACAAGGCGGTCGGAGCTACAAGGCCGTCCGCTACGAACGGAGCGGTCAGAAGCTGCTATAGTGGCTCCGGGCAATACTACTAGGAGCAAATAGCTGCTAGTAGCGTCCGAACATTCCGTTCGTAGCGATGCCCTTGGTTCCGTTCGTAGCTTCTAGTAGTAAGGCCAGGAGCCCCTAGTAGCGAAAAAAAGGGAGCAATGCAATGGAGACCATGGAATTGTATGGATAATAATAAGTGCCCTGCTGCCCCAAGGTGCCATGATTTTCGCCACAGAAATGGCTGCCGAATGCTGAACAACCAGGGTTCGCTGTTCCGTTCGTGCCAGATCTTCACCAACTGGGTTTTGGATCAAAAGAACCTGCTTCTGAAACCCACAGTTTGCCAAGTACTTCCCAAAGTCTTTCGACCGTTCACAGTCTTCCCTTTTTGGCGCTGGAGCGCACGATGCTCCCTGCGCACGGAAAACCGGTGCAACTGGCGTCTAGAAGCGACCAGACTGAGATGGCTGTGACTTTCTAAAGAATGGGAGCTTCAGGCAGCCTAGACCATCCACGGCTGGATGGGACCATTGGCGCCACCCAGGCCCTCCGTTTTGGCCTTTGCCGGTTTCGTCGACGTGACTAGCCGCATTGCAGTTTCAGTAGGCACACTTATACAAAGCAACCGGACTGACCCGTCAAACTCTTCTGGCACATCCCACTGGTAAACTCATTCATACCCTTGGGGAGGTGAACCTCTAATGGTCCCCTGCGGCTTCAATTCCTTCCCCAAACAGCAAGCACTGCCCCCTCACTTCCCAAAACGACTGCCACCTAAACCCAACGACGTGTTGCTTTCTGCTGTCTTTTCTCCTTTTCCAGCCCTTTTTGTCCACCAACCTTTGACTGACCCACCAGCGACCGGCTTAACACACCCACCCGACGCGGCGACTCGGCGACCCGGCCTGCCACCGGCGCAAAAAGCTCAATTGGCGTGCCGCTTTGGTCCACGGCCTCCTTCACCTCGAAGAGGGCGCCAAGTCGTAGACGGAGCCGCCGACGCTCCAAGTGGTTTGAGGTGAACCGTCTACCAGTTCATCTGGTCATTTGGGGAGCAGAACATGGACCGGAAGGGCAACTCAGAAGCGGCCTTAACTCTAGTGTTCTAAAGCTCAAAATACGGCCAGGCCTACGGCCAGGCATCCACCCAGTCCATCAATATCCCTCAATCTTTCGGCCAAGAGGCTAGCAATGGTTTTGCCTGACCCAAGGTGTGCTGTGGATTGAAGCGCCCTTTGTCCAAGACCTCGATGTGAATGGTCCTCATCTGCGCGGCAAGTCGTGGCGCGCGGAGGGGGAGTGAAACCCTGTGCTTTCTAGGGTGAGGGATGATGAGGGTGAGGAGAAGGGATCTTTACACACGCACATCAGGGCACTAAACAAGTGCAGTACCTTGCATTGCAGTTGAGTTCAATGGAGTACCTTGCAAGGTAAATCAAGAACATCGCCAGGCAACAATTCCAATCTTCCTTTGG